CTGAGGTGGCAACTCACTAGTAAACTCCATGTAAACTCCTGGTTGGTAAAGAGGGGGGGTCCAGGGTGTCTCTATCAAACCTGAGAATGGCTCTGGATGGGGGGAAAACATCTAGTCATGTAGGTGTTGTTGGAACAACAAATGATGTTTGGAACCAGCTGAAACCACTGGAATCCACCTATCTTCAACCCTACTTACCTAATGAATAAGACTTACCTCGTTCATCTTTCAGCTCCAGAACCCAGCCTCGCAGGGAATTTGCATTGCGACCGGAGAGGCCGCAGTGCCTCTGTCAGCATTCTGCCGACTGCAAGCTGCGAGCGTTCTTTGGTCCCATGCTTGTCCCACTCCATGGCAGATTTCGATCTTTCAGTGCGCACCTCGCACTAGGATGAATCAAGTGTATCTCGTATAATCCGCCGATGTCCATCTTGGCAACTTCGCTTCACTGATGCACTGAATCAAGAAAAGTGCGACTCACAATTTCCTATAGAGACTTCCAAAAGGCGTGAGTGAACTTGGGAAAACCAATGCCGCGGTGTTGCCTTGATGGAATCGCTGCGCGAGCGCTGCTCGAACTCAGCGTGCATGCATCGCGCCGTTCGTCCCTCTTTCCAAACCGTCGTAATATATTAGAGGAGTATACCCAAACCAAAGCAAGAATCAAACGGGTTTCCTGCCGCACCTGTTCTCAGTTGGGACTGCCCTGACCTTCATCTACCCAGGTCTGTATGGCTCAAGTCGGCTAGACTCTCGCGGCACAACACAAACACCTCGCGTCGAGTTTGAGGCAACGTCGTGGAGTCGTTAAATTGAATCACTACAGGGCCAATCCCAAGATGCGATCAAACTGACGGCGCCCTCTTGGATCCCATCCAATAACCTAAGGTGATGTTCAAACCTCCGACAAAAGACTGTTCAGGACCCCCCAGAGAAAAATACGATGATTGACACGAGAAAGATTTGGAGGGTCAAAACTGCCATCCAAGCGAGTCCCCTTACGAGCCCAAAAAAGGAATGCTTGTCTAAGGCTGCATGGCCACCCCTCCCCTCCCCTCAAGGGTGGGCAGTGCTAAGCAAAATGCCCAGCGGTTTTCAAACCAATCCACATCTGGGCGAATGGCGAAGGGAGCCCTTCTGAATGAAGTTGATCTCTACCATTTGATGGTTGGAACGCCCAACTCGAAGGAAGTCATTGGCAAAAAATCCGTCTGGGAAAACCTCCGTTGCCCAAAGCACCACGAATAAATGCGGAGCTTGCAGGGTGGAATCCCGACTTGCTATGGCTTGGCACTCCAGTTTAAACAAACAGCTTGGGGAAAAACTGGGCTCCCCTTGGGTCAAATGGAAACTACTACTAAACACTAAAAGGATCAAAAAGCTAAGGAACCGGACGGCTGGCAGCCACCACCAAGGAAAGGAATGGGCTACTTGAACCATCTGATCTGCTCAAACTACCGTCCCAAAGATTTCTTTACACTGGCCTGGTTGAATATGAAGAATTATCTGGCCACAAAATCGTTTGTTCGAGAACTCAACAGGTCGGCACGCAGCTATGTCACTCTGCGCAAGACCAAGTCTGGCAATCGAAGGGGGGGGGCTATGGCGCCTATAGGACAAACCCCAACTGAAGGGGTGCCGCTTCTCGCGACAATGGCTGCCAAGGTTCCCTAATATGCCCAACCTTCGAATACCAGGCCGCCACAAATAAGCTCACTTCAAATCAGAAGACAACAGGAGCTGTTTGAACGCTCTTTCAATTCACTTCGGATTGATCAGGACAGTCAGAAGAATCCGGTACCCAAAGGCTCCCAATGTATTTAGGGCCCTCAAACAGCCAGGTTTTGAGACGTCCCAAGCACCTCTTCCCGGGGTGTCTGATGCTTCGGGGTCGGGTCTTCCATAGAAAGCCGAAGCCGATCGGAGCCTCTGGACTAACCGCCCTGAAAATCGCCGAATCGCCGGACTTGAAAGGCCTTGGTGACGCTGTTGCCAATCCGAGGACAAGAACACGAATGCCTGGGCATGTTGCAGAAGAAACGTGATAAATACATGTTGTTCTTATTCAATAAGATTTGAATATGTCTGTAGTATGTATATATATATATGTAAAACAACAACATATTATCTATGTAAACGTCTCCTTGTGTCTTTCTGTCTGTCTGTATGTCTCCGTATCTGTCTATCGTGCAATCTCTATCTCTGTCCATCGTTCAATGTGTGTGAATTATGGATATACATGTTGTATGCTGAAGGAGTATTGTGATGTTTATGCGGGGGCTACTAAGAATGAAGAGGAAAGCCCAGACAAATCTCGGAACAAAGCCAAAGGACATTGAAATGGCAAGTCGGGGTTAGCATTACACCCCTGCCAATTCGCCCAAAGGCTAATACTTGGCTCTTTCTGGGCTAACGCCAGGTGGGGGAACAACTCATTGGCGCTTGACTTCTGGCCCTTAACTTTAAGGGACCTGGTCCCAACTTAGAGCCAGATCCAAAG